CTGTGCTGGGTGCCTGGTGCCCTGGCAGCGATCGGAGGTAGGGAAAAGAGATGGAGGGAGAGCGACGCGAAGGGAGGAGGGGTGGGGCGGGGGGCGGGGGAAGGGGAGGCGTCGCGAGATGGCCAAACTCGCAGTAGGCGGGATGCTTCGTGCCGGGGCTTTTCATCTCGGCCATCCTCTGTCTGCCCTGGGCGATGGCCCGGCGAGGGGCAGCGGCATCGGGGGGGGGGGGGGGGACCGGTGGGCCCCAGCGTGTCGCCAGATTCCGCCTCCCTGACCTTCTCCTGTTGACGCCGGTCCTAGGACCTCCGGCCCCCCCCCCCCTCCCCTGCCCCCCTTTCTCGGTGGTTTCCCGGCCCGGCGAGCGGGTCCGACCCTTTCTCCCTCCCTGCCCCTGGGAGCCGGGCCGGGCATTGATTTGCGTGAGATGCCCCCCCCCCCCTCCCCCCCCCTCCGCGGGCCGTCTCCACAGGCGCGCACCCTGGCGGGGCCAGTCCTGGGCTGGGATAATATCCATGCACCCGCGCGCACCCGGACAAACATGCGCGCTCGCCACAAGTCGGGGTGCCAGATTTCGGATGCGCGCGCCGGGGGCATGGAAAATGCGGGCCAAGTTCCCGGGAAAACTAGACCCAGGTGCGGGACGGCCCCGGGCCTCCCTCGGTGCCAGTCCCCTTGGCAGACCCGCCAGCCGTCGGCCGACTTCTGCCAGGAGAGGATGGCCGCTCGGGCCCCGGGGCTCCCGGGGCCCGCCCCCGCCCGGGGGAGCCCTTGCTTCGGTTGGTTGCCACGCCCGTGCGCGCCTGCCTTTGAGGAGGTGGCCATCCGCAGGACACACTGCCGGCCGCGGTGGGGAGAAGGAATGCGCTTGGTGCGCCAACCGGGGGGGGGGGGGGGGGGGGGGGCGCGTCCCAGAGGGAGAGCCAGGGGCCCCGGAGACAGGCGGTACCCGGTCCCGGGAGAGAGCCTGGCCCGGAGTTGGCCCCGCTGTTGTGTGCCCCTCCCTTTCGGGCCGGGCCAGGATCTCGGGGGATGGGGAGCGGGGGGCGCGCGTCGGGCCATATTGTGATCCAGGGGCCTGGCCAGGGCCCGCCGGCACGGGCCCCGCCCGGTGCTGACAAGAATGCGCGCGCGTGTCCATCCGCCCTC